ATGCGGGTTCTGATATTCTGTGTGGATTTTCAAATTTGACGTTCTGGCTTTGAGATTCTGTGTATTTAATTATGATCATCATGAAGTTTCTGGAACAAATTTCAATTTCTTTCAACAAATAGTTTGAGTAAATTTCGATACAAAGTGGTGGGTTTGTTTTTCCTGAGGATTGTTATATTCGGAGGGTCTGATTGAATTCCTATGACTGTAAAAGGACCTAACCATTACCCCATCCTTTTCTAGAATCTCCATTTGATCGGTAATTTCCTGTCGATGACGTGCGGTAATCGGTAGGGTTTGTCATGCATAGGCCGCACTGCGTCTGGAGTTCGGATTTCATGTGCTACTGCTGTAGTAGCAGTTATTTTATCTCCTTCAAGAAGGAATAAATCTGAGTACTGGTTGCAAATTGTAAGTAATGACGACTTTTCTTCTGTATTCAAATGTTCGGTTCGAAGGGCTCCTTGTAGTTTCGTTATTCTGCTGCTATCCCCCTGATGTTCTGATTGGTCGGAGATTTGTGTGGTACCAATGGTGGCTTCCATGTACCCCTCATAGTTTAACTGATTCAGATTTGGGAGTTGAATTTGGAGTTCCATTTCTGTTGGATTGATTAATGTTACAAAGACTCTGCGAATGATCTGGATACTCTGCGATTGATATGGATACTCTGCGAATGGTCTAGATACTCTGCGATTGAATGGATACTCTGCGAATGGTCTGGATACTCTGCGACTTCGGCGGCGCTCGTGTATGTAAACACGACGCTATCACCGTTCGAGTGTTATTATTATTTTTTTATTTTTTTTTTTAACAAAAACAATCGCGTTCAATTTCGTTGGCGCGATATGATTACGTATTATTTTCGCGGCGGCGCGACAACGACAGCGCGTGAACAAAAAAAAATGAATATCCGGCGGCGGCACACACGTCCCGGCGGTTGCGACGGCGGCGACGACGACGACGTATAAGAATTTGCTGATCTGGTGAATTTCGTGTTCGTCCGTTCACCGTTTACTCGCTGATATAATTTTTACCATTTATAACGAAATAATATTATTTATATTACCTCGTCAATACACCAGTCGATTCTAATTTCCGTAACCAGTCGATTCTA